GCAGCTGTGCCCAGCCTCCCCATAGCCAGGGGACATTCGGCACCAATCACTGCTGGCTTCCCAGGGGGTGCCCCGAGTGCTGTATAAGCAAAGGCCGAAAGTTACCCACTGCAGGAATCAGAACCGGCCGGGAGAATATGCAGGGCCCTCTTTATGTTAGAAATACAAGCCACTGCTGCTGCCTTTTAAGCTCATTATGTTTTTCTTAATGAGAGAGGTGCTGTGCCAGGCACTCTTTCTGGTAAGTATCAGTCTGACCCAAGAGAGCAGGGAGAAAGGCTTCCCTGTCCGTTTCTTTAACTGGATGCCAGTTTCTTCCTCGGAAACCAGAAGCACGTGGCCAAGGAACCTGGACACTCACCTCCTTTGATTGGCTGTATCTTTCTTGTAGGCAAGCGATGCAGAAAGCTGGTTAGAATCAGGAGGTTGTGAGGTGAACTCTGGAGGCAGAGCTGGGAAGTTTGTTATCCGGTCGTGTTTTTTATGGCATTAGCCTGGGAGACAGCATCCTCTGTACCCTAGGGGCAGAGCTCCCACCAGGACCAGGCAGGACCAGCTTTACGTACTTGTGCTTTCTGTGTCTCAGCCAAGAGAGTACGATCCCAGTTGGGTCAGGATCCACGGCCGGTGTTGGGATTTGGGGCTTAGAAACTTGCTTTTTCTTTGGAGTCAGGCAAATAGGTGTTCCTTGAGAGTAACACTCAGGCACTCACTGGGGCATTTGGTGGAAAGACCAACAAAGAGATTTTGTCTGCTGGAGCTGCATATGGTGTGCCTCCTGCCAGGTGTGTGTGGAGGCCAGTATGAAGCTGAAGAAGCAGGTGACAGTGTGTGGGGCCGCTATCTTCTGTGTGGCCGTCTTCTCGCTCTACCTCATGTTGGACCGAGTGCAGCATGATCCCACCCGTCACCAGAATGGTGGGAACTTCCCCCGGGTGAGTCATGCCTGGTTGCTAATCTCTTCGTGTACCAGTCTCTGAGCTCAGGCTGAGAGTCCGTGTCAGCCCAGGACAGGAGGGTTTCTTCCCAAAAGGCAGATTTTCCAGAAGCCCAGAGATCAAAAACAGTGATGGCAGAAAGAAAGAAGGAAGGGAAAAGGCGAACTGCCGGCTTGTCCTCCCGAATTCTTGGCAGACATTGCTAATGGATTGCAGCATTCGTTCCCACTGAGCCCGGATGCAATCCTTGTCAGCACAGCGCTCCTGACAGGCCACACTGGTTGTTGAGAAGAGGCACGCAAGATGAAATCTTTGCCATCCACGAGCCAGGGAGTGGGGGCACTCCCAACCCAAGCGGATTGCAGTTCTCTGTAGTGATTTGCACATCTTTCCTCACCGGACCAGAGCCATCCAGCCCCATAGGCTCGTGGTTCCGCCTTCAGTTGGGGAGGGAAGGACCACAGGCCCTGGGTGGTGGGCCCCATGCAGAGATCCTTCCTGTGGCACAAGGAGCCGTGGGTGATTGCTTTCTGGTCTTCCGGCAGAGCCAAATTTCTGTGCTGCAGAACCGCATTGAGCAGCTGGAACAGCTGTTGGAGGAGAACCATGAGATCATCAGCCACATCAAGGACTCTGTGCTGGAGCTGACGGCCAATGCGGAGGGCCCGCCCGCCATGGTGCCCTACTACACGGCCAACGGCTCCTGGGTGGTGCCGCCAGAGCCCCGGCCCAGCTTCTTCTCTGTCTCCCCCCAAGACTGCCAGTTTGCTCTGGGGGGCCGGGGCCAGAAGCCAGAGCTGCAGGTAGGGGTCAGAGCCGGCAGGGACCTCTGGTGGCTGTGGATAGGCACTGAGCTACTCTCTGGCCTGGCAGATGCTGACCATATCGGAGGAGTTGCCGTTTGACAACGTGGATGGCGGCGTGTGGAAGCAAGGCTTCGACATCTCCTACAGCCCGCACGACTGGGACGCCGAAGACTTGCAGGTGTTCGTGGTGCCACACTCTCACAATGACCCAGGTGAGGACCCAGCAGGGCCCCGGGGGCCGGGCTGTGCAGAGAGCTTTGTGATGGCAGAGGTAAGGGAGGGGCAGAAGATGCTGGCATCCTCAGGGTATCCTGTGCTGGTGCCCTAGGCTGGATCAAGACCTTTGACAAGTACTACACTGAGCAGACCCAGCACATCCTCAACAGCATGGTGTCCAAGCTGCAGGAGGACCCCCGGCGGCGCTTCCTCTGGGCGGAAGTCTCCTTCTTTGCCAAGTGGTGGGACAACATCAACGCGCAAAAGAAAGCAGCCGTGCGAAGGCCAGTGCCCGCCGGGGAGGCATGGGAAGGCTGGCCTCTGGGCCCTGGACTGGGTGCCAGAGCAGCTGGGTGCCACACTGTGGGTGGCAGGGGGAGGCAAGGGGAAGCAGGGCAGAGGGGAGAGGGCATGGTGGAGGGGCCGAGAATGAGAAGGCAGGGACTGGTGTGATGGCCACCGGGTCACCGGTGTCGGGAGAAATCAGAGTTAGGTGCAGTTGTATGCACAAGCCAAGAGGGAGCGTGGGGCCTGGTCCGGAGAGAGGCAGGGCCGGGACGGCATGGAGGCTGTATGGAGGGAAAGGAGAGTGCCTGTTTGTTCTGTTGGTCCCGGGTGTGGGTGAGCGGGCTCAGTAAGGCCTGTGCGCACAGGTCCCCGCATCTTCTGGTTGGCGGGACTGGGCAGAGCATCCCTGCCCCACGCTGAGTGTGAGTCCTTCACTCCAGGCTGGTGGGAAACGGGCAGCTGGAGATTGTGACAGGAGGCTGGGTGATGCCGGACGAGGCCAACTCCCATTACTTTGCCCTGATTGACCAGCTCATTGAAGGACACCAATGGCTGGAGAAAAACCTCGGTGAGTCTGGGCTCAGGAAGGAGAGTCTGCCCCTGTAGCTGGACCAGGGAACAGCAGGGGCTGGGCACAGGGATCGGCAGGGGGGTGGTTCCTCTCTAGGCCGATTCCACCAGGCATGGGGTCAGTATGATGGCAGAAAAGGAGCTGGGTCCCCAGGACCTGAACCCCTCAGGACCTCTGGCTTCCGTGCCCTCTCAGGAGCAACCCCACGCTCTGGCTGGGCCGTGGACCCCTTTGGACACAGCCCCACCATTCCTTACCTGCTGCGCCGTGCCAACCTGACCAGCATGCTGATTCAGAGAGTGCACTACGCCATCAAGAAGCACTTTGCTTCCACCCACAGTCTGGAGTTCATGTGGAGACAGAACTGGGGTAAGACCAGGTAGGGTGGAGGGTCACAGGAGTAGTGCTCACTGCGGAAGGGAAGGGCAGGGTATGAGGGTAAGACCCACGTCCTTCAGAGCAGACCAGCAAGCACTTGCACAGACCGCCGGAAGTAGTGTCCTCCTTCCGGTTACATTGGGGATCAATCACATTGACCCCTGGCCTCTACAGAGCCCCCCGTCTATACTGAGGGTCTGTCCCAGGAACTGTGGGCTCCAGATCCCTCCCTGTGCCCCTTGGCCTGCCCGTCCTCTGCAGCCTTAAGTCTGGTCCAGGCCTCACCTTCTGTCAGAGCTGCACGTGGCTGGAGCAGATCCCCAGTCTCCTGGCATCTCCGTGACCCGCTCCGGAGGCTGCCTGCTGGTGGCCGACTGCCCGGTGTGTCTTCTACAGACTCGGACTCCAGCACAGACCTCTTCTGCCACATGATGCCCTTCTACAGCTACGATGTGCCCCATACCTGTGGCCCGGATCCCAAGATCTGCTGCCAGTTTGATTTCAAACGCTTGCCTGGTGGGCGCATAAACTGCCCCTGGAAGGTGCCGCCCCGGGCGATCACAGAGGCAAACGTGGCTGAGAGGTATTTGCTCCCGGCCTAGGCTGGGCCATTTTCACTCCACAGGGGAGCCAGGAGACCTGGCCTTGGTGTGGGCTCTGCTGCACGGGGGTGCTTCTGGTTGTACATCTGTAAAATGGCAGGCGGGGGCGGTGGGGCTCAGGTGGTGAGTTCAGGTCCACAGCCGCTAAGGTGGTGGCTCCGTCACTGAGCCTCCCTGGACAGCTGGAGCAGCTCTAAGGAACCACCTTTTCCAGAATGGTTTTATTTCCCCAAATGAGTGTGTTTCCCAGTGTCCTAACAAGCTGCCAGAGCCGGTTGACCGACTCAGAAGTGAATAATTCTTAAAAAAGGTAAAGTTTCTTGTACCATGTGGTCTAATATGCCTTCGTTTACTGCAGGCATCTTGCCTTAGCTTGATTAGGCCAGGATCCCCCAGTGCTTGTGGACCATTCACAACATGTTCAGTCCTGCCCAACAGCCCCCAGCATCAGAGAAAAGCACACCTGTCCCCCTGGGGGGTTGTTAGGGACCCCTAAAGATGTCTCTGTGGCTGAAGTCCGCCCCTGCCTCTGCCCACCTTGGAAAGAACAGATTACCAGTGACCTGAACCGTGGGTTAGCTGGAACCCACTAGCCTTGAGAATATAACAAGTTGAGCTGGTTTTCATGAGGCAATACTCTGATTTCCATGATGTCCACGAGGTGAAGCATGTGACCAAAAGGGAAAGAAAGTGGTCTTTTGTTTCTGAAAGCCAGAAATCTAAATGCAGATTCCAAGCAAGAATCCAGGACTATTAAGGGGTGATTTTTCTTAAAGCAGCGGCTGTGATCAGATGCCAGCCCAGCTTTGCAGAGAGCAAGTCATGAGAGTAACTTCGTTTTCTCCTTTGAAAGGCTTACAAGGCTGATAAATTTGAGGGAAGTGGTATTCTAGGAGTCCTCTCTTGAGAACAAAGTAGGAGAGTACAAGCTGGATCAGCACAGTTAAGTAGCTTAGTGGCAGGCTGACCTACAATACCTATAACATGCCAACGACTGGGTTGGTCTAAATGGAGAAAAAGCTTTAATGATATGCTACAAGGTTTTGGTTTCCTATTGATTTTACCGGTAACTTCGATGAAAAAGAAAGTGACAAACGTGTGTATATAGTTCCTACTGTGTACCAGAAGCTAGTCTGAATTTTATTTATTTATGTTTATTTATTTATTTATTTATTTATTTATTTATTTATTTATTTTTGAGAGCAAGAGAGAGCACAAGTGGGGGCGGTGCATAGAGAGAGGGAGACACAGAATCCGAAACAGACTTCAGGCTCTGAGCTGTCAGCACAGAACCCGACTTAGGGCTCAAACTCACAGACCGTGAGATCATGACCTGCGCCAAAGTTGGATGCTTACCCCACTGAGCCACTCAGGCGCCCCTACCAGGTGCTGTTCTAAGTATGTGGCAAATAGTAATTTATTTAGTTCATTTTAACTTTCATAACATTATGATGGTAGGTACTGATGCTATTCTCATCTTATAAAAAACCGAGGCCTAGCAAGGTTAAGTAGCTTAACCAGGGTCACTCAGCCAGTACATGTAGAGCCGGTATAGTATGGTTCTGATTTTAGGTCTTCAGAGCTGTGCTCACTTGTGGGCAAAGTGAAGCTGGGGTGTCAGAATGAGGACCCCCCCCCGAAAGGATCAGGATCCCAAAAGATCTCAGTAGGTTGTGTGCGACGTGGGTCGAATCCAACCAGACAGGATTTATCGGATGTAAATGTAAAGTTCCATCCTTAGTCTCAGGAAAGAGAACAGGAAAGTGTCGGGATGGGGAGAAAGGCCCTTGCTGAACCTCGTGTGTGGGAAACCCGCCCGGTGGCCGAGGTCGGCACTGGTGTGACCCTGGGGCTGCCGGAGACGCCCCTGTACACGCACGCGGCACACCGGGCTGGCCGAGGTGTGTGTCCCGCCTTCTGGTTGCCGGTCGGCCCACCCCGGAGTCCCGCATCAGCGCCAGGCCCCTCACCCTGAGGGACGTGGGCAGAAGGGTGGCTGCAGAACCGCTGGTGATGCAGGGGTGGGGGGG